CGCAAACGTAAAACCGTGACTTGGAAAAGAAAGAAGAAAAAAATATATATATATATTTTATTAGTTCTCAAAAAACAAAGATGGTAATTTTGGTCATTTTCAATACACATATGTATTGAAAATGACATAGTGTATTGGTGTTTATGCTGGCCTAAATAAATATAAGAATACGATTCTTTCTAGCCTTTATTCTATTTATTTTATGATCGTGTGGCTTACAACAGCAATGTTTACTCACATTCCCGGCTATCCAGGGGCTATTCTACAGCTTACAGCTATTTCAATCTAGGCTCAGAGAGTAGTAAATCTCTATTTTATAGGCCTCCGAATCGAGCGATGAATATTTAGTTGACAGTTAAAATTTAGGAACAGAGAATAACTCGTCATGTATTAAAATCAAATGCTAAATTGATTTTATAACTGATATTCTGTATCTTCATTGCATACGATCTACAGACGATTACTCGCTCTCACGGCCAGTGCACAACGTCACGAACGAACGAGAAGCCCATGTGCTCAGTTGAGTCGTGGGCGATTTAGAATCGTCCATTTTGCGGCAGGGTATTCATTTTGTATTATAACTATAAATACACATGCCTAAACATTATCACATTTAAACATGTGTATTAACCGTTATAATAAACATGTTTAAATATTATATTAATATTCAAACATGTGCACTAACTGTTATAATACACATGTTTAAATACTATTACAATAAGCTTCACCGGGCACACAATGGTTCGGTCTTGGGATGCCAGGGGTAGATGCTTCAGTTCAATCTTATTATTTTTGTTTGTTATGCATCGTAATTTTCCCGATTTTTAGGTGTGAACACAATTTGTATTTTCTATTTAATACTGTGGTATAGACAAGAAGAACAATTCCCAGTAAAAAATATTTGCGGGAAATTCAGTACTGTAGTTGCTTCTGTTCGTTACGGACTGCTAATGCACTTTTTGACATCACACCACACCTAAATATGCGCTCCCGATTATAGGCCTAACTTCTTTTTATTGAAAATGTAGGAATATGTTAAGAGAGTATTAATTGTTGTAGCCTAGATTGTAGGCTTATTCATTACGTTTGCCGTGCCTGACCATTGTAAACGAAATATCTCTTGCTCACTAACCTAGGCCTAACTACAATACACTAGTACGCGACCTTCGCAGGCTGCCGGCAGCGGGTAATAAATTTTAGGTAAGTAGCGAATCTGTCACCCGACCTGTCACTTGTGACAGGGGGTTGGATGATCGATTACCCGAGTAGGTCGGGTAGCAGGACCGAATTCGGTAAGGGAAGATTTTCGGCATGTTAAACACTGTATATGTACCTTTGATGATTTATATTATATTTATTCAACAGTGTTAACGGCTAACTTCCTTCAATATCATATACTGTATAATATACGACAGTATTTCTAGCCGTATTTCCAGATTTTTCTGGCCGAACGCCTCTTGAGGCATAGCATTGTGTAATACAATGTTCCCGACGGGTATTTGAACCTGTTCAACCATGAAGCTTTCGTGGTCTAGTGGTCGCATGTTCGAATCCCGTCGGAGGCATTTTATTACACAATGATTTTTCATAGGACTTTATTCGTTGAGCTACAGGGGAGCCTAGGATGTTCCATCATGTCCTTATTAAACACTGGTATAAGTACCTTTGATGATTTATATTATATTTATTCAACAGTGTTAACGGCTAACTTCCTTCAATATCATA